CAGAAGCCAAGCAAAATGCTTCATCACCACTTCACACGCTTCCTGTTTCTTCTTTAAGAGAAATCCACATGTGTACCGCGTGGCTTCATCCTCTACAAGCTGGATATGTTCATAGCCGTTGTAGGTAGCAACACCCACATAGCACATGTCAGACATGAACTTTTGGTAAGGCTCAGTTGACCTAGCAGTATCCAAGTTTTTGTAGGACATCCGCTTCATTCGCGATTGAATGCATGTCCAACATCGGTCACTTGGCGCACACACACTGCCAGACAACTCTAAACCATCCACCGTCTTGTTTCGTACCATTTCCTGCAAGGCTCCATAGTTCAGGTGTCCAAGGCGAGCATGCCATAGAACCAGAGCTCTCTCGTTCTCACGCGTCATGGCTTTCACTTGCTGCACAGGGACTACGGTAGACCGTAAGCGGTAACGGCCATTCGCCTTCACAAACTTCAGTAGTATTCACCCTTGCGTAGCCATACACACTTCTGCTTGCTCAACTTGGTGAATTCCCATCCATCATTCTCCTGCTTATCCAAGCTTAGCAGATTATTTGTTCCGCTAGGAGTGTGTTGAGGCAGGACAAATTAGAGAACCCAGGCAAGCCATGGCTATTTCTTGGCTATGCTACGAATACGATAAGCTACCGAATGTTGGACTTGAGGACTGGCAATATTGAGGAGTGTAGAACGGTGGAGTTTAGCGAGGATTGGACTGTGGAATTCAGTTACGTGGAGAAGTTCCTGCTCAATCGGAAATCGAGTATCAATTATAAGCTCCCGTTCAAAATTTCTTATGTTCGCCTGGATAGTTTGACATCGCCGACTTCTGCTGTGACTCTCGGAGCGCCAACTAGTGATGATCATCGTGATAAACGACATTGTCGTCAGAAATTGAGAGAACTCCGCACAAGTAGCGTAGCCGATACTCCAACCACTGTAGGTGTGGCAGCGTTGGCTATTGTACCTTCGAGTGGCGTGTTGAGTGCGAATCCGATGAGATCAGCAGAGGCTGAGGCTCAATTGTCGCGAGCGCGCGGGCTACGCGAATGAAATCCTACAGGTGATTGTGTGAATACTGATGGAGGAGATGATGCGGAAGGTAGGAGGGACGTGTCTAACAGCAGAAGTT